ACACACACACACCCACAGCGCCTCCCTGTGTTTTCACCAGCATGTACGTGAGCAGCAGTGCGAGCTTCCCCATCAAAGATACCAGCCTGCTTGAGTGCACGTGGTCATACAGGTTCACTCTCTGCACGTGTACGCTCATGAGGGTGCTCACGTGCGCACGCATAACAGCTGATGGCACGAAGGAGCCCAGCGTCTGGCTGGTTTTCATCCAGTCTGATGGAAATGAGGATTTCCTCAGAACAGTCTTTTACTGTCAGCGTTCCTCCTCCAGGGGGCGCCGTTCTGCCGTTTGTCTTTGTGACTGCAGACGCGTGGCTCAGGATCAGAAACCTCAGTGATCAGAACGTGTTTCACTTCCATGGATTCAGGCACAGAATAACGGAGGCCACACTGAGGGCTGCACTGAGCCTCTGAGTCCCTGCACACATGAGCGCCGACTGCAGAGAAACCACAGCGCTGTGCTGTGTGAGCACCGTCGTCTTTAGCTCGCTCACAGTCGTTCTTGGGCATCAGGTCCGGGGGACTTTTGCGTTTGACTGACTTGAAACTGATGACTGCGCTGGTTTTGCGGCCTTGTTCGAGCCGTTTCTGCGCTCGCTGTAAAGTCAACGTCGGGCCGGTTTATTCTCCTGAAATCAGGCATCATGTTGCTCGGAGGCCCGAGTGGCTGCAGACTGAACCGAGCTATAAAAAGAGCAGACGCTGATTATAAAACCTCCTGGCTGAGTGTGTGCAGGCGCTCACGTGCCACCGCACACAGATTGGGAGCATGCAGAGCTTTGGCGGTTTAACGATGGGGTCAGACGGGGGGACGGAGCTGTAACGATCAGACTCTGTCTGGTCTGTTGGACCTGCAGTCACACCTGATCAGAACCCCAGCACGCCCTCAGAGCTCATCAGCTTCAGACACTACACACATGAATGCACGCTTTCTTTTCCAAAAACCAAGAAACTTCTCAGGGTTTCGCTGTGGTGCCCCCTAGAGGGGGCAGCTGAGAGGATTTGTGGATCACAGCCTGTCTCATTACAGCGAAATGATTTTTATCTGGGTCGGGTTTTAAAAGCGCGAGTTTCACCTGTAGGATCCAGCATCTTCCTGTGAGCTGTAATTATTAGGGCTGGGTTTTTATAATCGATTTATCGATTAAAATCAATTCTGGCTTGGATAACGTAAAATCGGTTCATTAAAATCCTGAATCGATTTTTTATATTAATTTATTTTGCCCGAAATGCCAGAATCTCAGGTGAAAGATCACAAAATTTCAAGAACCACCAAACAGCTAAGACAGTAAATGAGAGCAGGTACACGGCTTCTGCACAAAGACGTAAACACACAGCGCGACCCGCGGATCAGAATCAGTGAGATGTCGCCTTTCTCAGCTGACGGTCGGGGCTGAAAGCCGACAGCTCGCTGATTCTGATCCGCGGGTCGCGCTGTGTGTTCACGCCCTTTTTGCACTGATCATATGGCTGTTAGTTTGATCTCTCTCCAAACAAACTACGCTTCACATAAACATCGTCATGAATTCCCTCTGACTTTTACTGACTTTTCAGGATAAAAATCACACTTCATGCACAGCTCTCTCTCTCTCTCTTCTCTCTCTCTCTCTTCTCTCTCTCTCTCTCTTCTCTCTCTCTCTCTCTCTCTCTCTCTCTTCTTCTCTCTCTCTTCTCTCTCTCTCTCTCTCTCTCTCTCTTTCCCTTTTCTCATTATTCGCTTGCTTGTTAGGCACAAGTCTACTGTTGTTTACAGGCTGTCAGCCGCTGTTTTTTTCCCTTTTACATTCTTCCGAAAAGAAAACCTCATTTCTGCTGTTCAATACTGAACAAATTTAAACTTTTTAAAATTATTCAAAATGCAAAACGCTTAGCCGTGTCTCTAATAAAACCGCTGTAACTTCAGAGGTGATGTTCATATGTTGATTAATGGTTTTCTTTCGTTTTTGATGTACTGCAGAATATTTTTATAAAATCCAGGCCAGGAAAATCACCTTCATGTTTTTCTGTGTTTTATCTTCAGCTACTTTGACACAAAGGCCTCTGCTGTGATGCTCACACCTTTGTCAGCTTCCTTTTGATAGATACAAAAATATGTAAATGTACTGATCTGAATTATAATATTTCTGACTGTCAAAATGTCCCAGATTCAAATCGAATCGAATTAAATCAAATTGTGGATCGAATCGATTCGGGACCTTGTGAATCGGAATTGAATCGATTCTAGAAATCAGTGACGATACCCAGCCCTAGTAATTATTACTAAAGTGTTTTTGTAGTGGATAACTCTGAGAGGGCATTTCCAGGGGCGCAGGTGTTGGGAATCCCTGGGTTCCCGTCCTAGACGACGGTCAATGATTTTCGCTTTGTCATGCATCTCGTTTCTGTCCTCCTGTCTCTCCTCAGGTTTCTTCTCCAGTGTTTGGAGGATCTGGACGCCAGCCTTCGCAAGCTCAACTCTCGCCTTTTCGTCATCAGGGGCCAACCAGCCAACGTGTTCCCGCGGCTCTTTAAGGTGAGATGCAGGAAATCCTACTCCGGGGTTAGGGCAGACATGTGACCAGGGCGCTCTGCTCTGCTGCTCCCGCAGCCTGTTGGGAATCTTCTCTCTCTGTTTCTCAGGAGTGGAAGATCTCCCGGCTGACCTTTGAATACGACTCAGAGCCTTTTGGGAAGGAGAGAGACGCCGCCATCAAGAAGCTGGCCATGGAGGCGGGCGTGGAGGTCATCGTCAAAATATCGCACACCCTGTATGACCTTGACAAGTGAGTGAGCTTTAATTAACGACAGCGCGGACCCTTGAGAACACAGCGACGCTGTAAGGACATTCAGGGAGGGTTGTTTCAAACCGTCATGGAGCCTGAGGTCACATGATCACGGTCATGTGTCATGAGATTCCTCTTTGCTTCTCCGCAGGATCATCGAGCTGAACGGCGGGCAGCCTCCGCTCACCTACAAGCGTTTCCAGACTCTGATCAGCCGGCTGGATCCTCCGGAGATGCCTGTGGAGATGCTGACGGACACGCTGATGGGGCACTGCGTCACGCCCGTCCTTGAGGACCACGGGGACAAGTACGGCGTCCCCTCGCTGGAGGAGCTTGGTGAGAAATCAAACACACTCACGAGAAAACAACCACAAAGATGGCCGACAGCGTTTCTCGTAGTTGAAGCACCAATCAGAATCTCTGTGTACTTATTCATCCACGCCCTAAAACCAAAATCCAACAACAAACAGGCGAAGATCTATGGGCTCAAATTGTGGTCATAAATATTTTGTACTTGTAAATCAGAATTTATATGTGTAAAAAGAATTTGTGTGTGTAAAAAGAATTTGTGTGTGCGTAAAAAAGATCTGTGTGTGGCCAAAAAATACGTGTGAAATTCTGCACGGTTACAAGTATGAATTTTGACCCTACTTTTCTTCCTTTCATCCGGTTGGTCAATGTCATGTCAATCACAAATTTAACAATCCAATCAGAGAACAGATGGGTTTGGCTATTGGAGGGGTACTTTATGGAGCTTCAGGTCCTTGAAGGGAGTAAATGCCCTTTTACATGCCAGCCCAGCTTTTTCTGTCTGTGGCGGTCCGAGTTTGGTGATTTTTGTGTCACAGGTTTACGTGCTTAATACAAGGACCTCCAGAGCCTTTTCAACAGTGCTGCAGACCTCGGGGGGGCAGGCAGTGCTGTGGAAATGACAGTCTTCACTAGTGGGGATAGTTACAAAGCTTTCTTTGTTATGAATTAGCATACATGTTTTTATTGAACATTTGAAGACAAAAAAACTGAAACTCTTGTAGAGGAGATAAAGTCAGAGATAGAAATTACAAGGAGCAGGTGCATCTAGTACAGGTAAAACCCCACAGAGCCCAGCAGCCAGCAACAAATTCTGGATCCTTGGCTTTTAGTTAGCAGTTAGCATTAGCAGCACATGCTGCGTCCGATGTGAAAGGACCTTCATGCTGCGCACTGTGACTCACAGCAATGGTCCCGGGTCAGCCCTGACTTTGAGTTAAACTAATCCTAAAGTAATGATGGTATTTCTAACCACTGATATAGCACAACTTTATCCTTTCAACAGCTGCTGAAAGTTAGGGGACCTAGCTGCTATCGGATATTTATACAGAGATCCTCCAGCTTCAAACTGTATCACCCTTCAAGGACCTGCAGTTCAAAAAAAGAATCCCTCCAACAGCCAAACCCATCTGTTCTCTGATTGGACTGTTAAATTTGTGATTGACATGACATTGACCAATCAGATGAAAGGAAGAAAAATAGAGTTTCACGCGTATTGTTTACACACACAAATTCTTTTTACGCATACAAACCTGATTTACAAGTACAAAATATTTATGACTACAATTTGAGCCCATAAAAATCGACCAATGATCAAATCACACACACACACAGACACACACACTCTCACAGACACACACAGAAACACTCTCACAGACACACGCACACTCTCTCACACTGAGTGTAGCTGAGCAGGCCTGCAGCGCCCCCTGTGGCAGCTGTGTGCATCACAGCTTCAGTGCAGTTTGATGGCGTTCCTGCACAGCGTCCGTCAGTCAGCTGCTGCCTTCACACCTGCAGGTTTTGTCCCAGAGAGTTTTAAAATCAAAGTAAGGGCCAGGAGACCTTAAACGTGGCTCCTGAGTGAAGCTGTGACGCTTGAAGCTCTTGAGTGTTGCACGTTCATCCAAAGCTGATGACACACATCAGCTTTGGATGAGTGTCTGGAGTGAAATAATATAAAAGATATTTGGCTGAAACTTTTTTCACTTTGAAACACTGATTTGTTTCTCAGACGACAGGGACCAGCCCACCCCAAACAGGGCTTTGGCTTAGTTGTCCTCTCTGCTGAGTCCCTCGACTTCATTGTCATATTTTATTTGTTCCTGTGTGTGACCCGGGCACCGAGCCTGAGCGAAGGCCTCTGCAGCTCCACAAACAGACATGAAACACTTGTTGCAGCGCCCTCTGCTGGAGCTGTTTTAAATGCAGGAAAAGAGCTTCCAGCCTGGTGGATCTGACTCTGGACTCATTCAGCTTTAAGGAGAAACTGCAGTCAGCTAATTGATGCCGAAAGAAGAACTCCTCCCATAATTAAACCCCAAACCTGTCACCTGCTCTCTAATTTAAAGCTCTGAGTCGGGTGAAGCCATCTGTCTCTGTCCATTCATGCAAGCACCTGCTGTGGAGCACCTGCTGTGAAGCACCTGACCCTGAGACATTTAAGGAGCTCTGTGCTCCTGAATGAACGTGCTGATCCTCAGTCTGCTCCCCATTCAAAGAAACCTGCTGCTCCACAAAGCTCCGCCTCCATCTGCCACTCACAGCTGCCGCTCACTGACCTCATCAGGTCACGTGTAGAGTGATGCACACCTGCCCAATATAACTCTAATCTGATCCCAATTAAGTAACTTCTGGTGCTCGTTGATGACTTCTCCTCACTCAGAGTTGAATCTGTCACGAGTCGTAGCATCAGGCCCACGCCGCTCTCTCAGTCAGAGTCGTCCTCAGGTTTGGCAGGTGGGGACACGGTGGGTTCGGTTTCTGCTTCACCCTACAGCAGGTTCACTGACGGGCCGCATCTGAGCAAATCTGATCAATAACGTCAAAAAAGTCCAGAAATGAAATATTGACCTTTTTATTCTGGTGATAAAACATGAAAATAAATCATCTTCAGTCTTTATTTTCAAACCAATCAGACGTTTACTCTGAGCTCGTTCTCAAGAGGTTACAGAAGTGAAATGACGGGGTCGTTTACCCACGGGATCGAGACGGGGTCGTTTAGCCACGGGGTCGTTTACCCATGGGGTCGTGACGGGTTAGTTTAATCACGGGGTCGTTTAACCACGGGGTCATGGCGAGGTCATTTACCCACAGGGTCGTGGAATGACGGAGCATCGCTCTTTTGTTCCTGAACTAGTCAGTTCAGTTCATTTTTATTTCAAGCATTTCAAACATGTGGCTTCACAATCATTACAAAATATCATTCCATTATTTGTTTGAAAAGGAGTAAGCAGAAGTATTTACTTATTTGTCCCTACCCCCTCAAGTTTTACCTCTCATTCATTTATTTTTTTTGTCTTAAATTAAACAAACAACATATGAAACATATGAAGTAAAGCAAAACAAAACAAAACATACATAAATCAAAAACAAGAAATTAGCAAGCCCCACCACCTGTATAGTTTCTTTCATATGAAAAATACAGAATGTGTATATTTGCAGATACACAAGTTATGGAAAAACAAACAAACCAAAACAAAAGAAACAAAAAAGAACCACAACACCATTACCAACAACCAGTCGAAGCTTCTTTCTTTGTGTCTCTGAGTACCTTGGGTTTAAATTTCACCTGTGCAGGTGTGACTTAAAGGCACAGCGAGCAGGTTCAGGTAATCCAGCAGGTCTGGGATGGGAGACAGGTGGGTGGGCTGCCGAGTTCTGATTGGCTGTGTGTGTTTATGGAAGGTTGACCTGCTAAGGACAATGATGAAGGTGAACCGTCTCTTTCAGGCTTTGACACGGAGGGGCTGCCATCAGCCGTGTGGCCAGGAGGAGAGACCGAGGCTCTTACCAGGATAGAGCGCCACCTGGAGAGAAAGGTGGGTACTGCAGCTGATGGTGGGCTGTGGTCATAGAAAGCTCTGAGGGGATGACGTTCAGCAGAAGCGCTGGGGACTTCTCAGTGACGCAGCTCCTATTTTCATTGGCTGTTATCTTTGATGGGGCAGATTAAAGATCTTCAGCATCACAACAGAAGAAATGCGCACTCATCTGTTTCAGTAAACACATTAGTAGGGCAGGGCCATATTATACCGTTCACGGTAATACCGGTACAATGTTAGGCAACGATAAGAAAATGAAATATGGCGATAGAATGTGGGTAAAATGCACATGCGCAGGGCCTTTGTTTTCATACACACATGGCCGAAAAAGCATGGCGGCGACAGAGAATGAGAAGGGAGAAAGGAACATGCAAGCGGCCGTCGTTATTGCCGTATTTGTCGGACTAAGGTGCTCGTAAATCTGGGAGTAATCTGGGTCCTAAACTCCGTATGCTTCAGGTCCTAAAGTCAAATGAACACTGCAGCATCACTGAGAGTTAAAAAAACTGTCTAAATTCTTTCATCTTTAATAAAATGATCAGCGTTGCTGCTTTACCAGGTGTAACAGTTAAGTTTAACATCCAGGCGTCCATGAAAACAGGATTTATTACATTTAACGGAGTTAGAAGCTAGCAGGAAGTTAGCGGAAGTTAGCTCGCTAGTTTTGCTAGTTACCTAAACATGATATAGCATGTTCTGACTGAGAGATTTCTGAACAAATTCAAACGTACAGCTCTGCTGTCACTTCCAACATATAATAAGACAGCAAACTAAACAGCAGTGACATTTGTAGGGTTACTGAAGTTGGGCTAGCTGGTATATAATGATGTGCTACGTGATCGCTAGCGACACAGCTATGTTAGCACAACAAACACAGTGAAGCTGGAGGACGAACGCTAACTTTTTCCACTCGATAAAAGTTAACTTCAGGGTTCCTGATGGTTAGAGACAAATGCAATCCTATGGCAGGATGCTGTAAACGGACCAAACTTCAGTCAGGAGAACAACTGAGATAATCCATCCACAATACGAGGTTAGTCATTAATATACTGCAACAACATGGGAATAGAGCAGCTGTGATAGAATACAGCATTAATGAATCGATGGTACAGAAGTGGAGGAAGTAAGAAGAATGAGCTGAATAAAGTTTGATTCATCTGACTGCTTTGTTTTGCTTAATGTGCGTTATAATCCTGTGCACCTTATGGTCCGAAAAAATACGTATTTGACGCTTTTATTTGGCACACTGCAGTTTAATATTGCAAAGCACCTCTTTTTAACTTCGGTGGATATTATACATGGTTATGCTCAGGATATGTCAGCCCATTTCTACTGGAAATGCCTTTTGATTAAACCTTCAGCAAGGAATTTGCATTTGCACTGTTACATTTTTATATAGCTTTAATGCACATAAAAACAGCTGCTTGTTTAAGTGAAAATAAATGAATGGGTTTTTGCGCTGGTAAAGTTGTGGAGTTGTATTTTGTCTCTTGCGCGTTATCGCAAATTTTCAAATGTATATCGTGATAAATATTTTTGGCCATATCGCCCTGCTCTAACAAACACTGTTCGCTTTCTTTTCTTGTCATGTTCTTGTCTGTCCGAAAATGTCTTTTGTTCAGGTTCACAGACATGTGAAACACGCCCTGCTGCTTTTCCAAACCAGCCGCCTGTGATTTGGTGAATACTTTAACGTGGCCGTCTTACTTCCCCTCCTTTCTCTCTCCCTCTCTTTCTCTCCAGGCGTGGGTGGCGAATTTCGAGCGTCCGAGGATGAACGCCAACTCACTGCTGGCCAGCCCAACAGGCCTCAGCCCGTACCTGCGCTTCGGCTGCCTCTCCTGCCGCCTCTTCTACTTCAAGCTCACCGACCTGTACCGCAAGGTCTGCGTCAGACCCACACGTTGCTGTTGCATATTTGTGCTGCCCCAAAGCATCGGTGCGACTGCACCGCAGCGATGATCTCATTTATGGACGTGTATGAAGCAGAGCCCATCTGCTACTCTGTTTCTGTACGAATGAACTCCATAGATGAGACAATGCTGTGCAAAAGTCTTGAGCCACCCCTCATTTCTTCACAAACGTTCCTGTAATCTTTGAAGTGCTCTTGAGCAGCAGTTGTCCAGAGGTCTTTATAATGTTAAACTCTGACCTCTGAATCATTCTGAACCAGTGTTGTAGTGTTAGGTTGTGCCTGTTGTGTGCAGACACAACCTAACACTACAAACACATTTGAATCAGAAGCTAAAACTAAAGAAGGCAGGCTGTCACACAAACACGTTATCTGTGACTCTATGAGACACGCCAAATATAACGCAGTTTGACATGAAATGGGATTTTTGGCCCAACAAGGCGATTCCCAAAGAGGAATAATAGCATTTTATTATTTCCAGATCATTGCATATCAGTGCAGGTGTGAGCTATGAGTGCACTTGCCAGATGCAGTGATCTGATTGGTCAGATCTGAACCATCAGAGATTAAATATTGGCATGAAGGCCCCACCGAAAGGGCGGTGACATCACCGCTGGGCTCAGGTTGGTGCTGCTGAACCCACTGAGACGGTCGAACGGTGACCGACTGCTGTGATCAACAGAACGTCGTTGAAGTGAAACACTTTTATAAAACCGATGGCCGAGGTTGAAAGAGTTAACCCCCTGAACGCTTTTAACCCGATGCTTTTGTGATGTTTCTAATGATGCAGGTGAAGAAGAACAGCTCTCCTCCACTCTCGCTCTACGGACAGCTACTGTGGCGCGAGTTCTTCTACACCGCCGCCACCAACAACCCACGCTTCGACAAGATGGAGGGAAACCCCATCTGCGTCCGCATTCCCTGGGACAAAAATCCTGAGGCGCTCGCCAAGTGGGCTGAGGCAAAGACGGGCTTTCCCTGGATCGATGCCATCATGACTCAGCTGAGGCAGGAGGGGTGGATTCATCACTTGGCCCGACATGCCGTGGCCTGCTTCCTCACCAGAGGAGACCTGTGGATCAGCTGGGAGGAAGGAATGAAGGTGAGCACATGGGAAGCGGTCATGGTGCGGTGACGTGCCGATACTGAAACATGCCGATGAATCAGACGGGTACAGCTGACCGCCTTTATTTTTCTGCGTCAGGGTTTAATGTCGTAGGTGTTTTTCCTTCTTCGTGTCGGCCTTATTATTTTGGCACGTTTGCCAGTAACTTCTGTTCATGCTTAAGGAATAAAAACAACCGAGTTAAAACAAAGTGATGTTACCCACTCAGGTGTCGGCTTATTTTTGCACTTCCTGTTTTAATGGGCTGTGGTTACCTGCTGCAGGTGTTTGAGGAGCTGCTGCTGGATGCAGACTGGAGCGTGAATGCGGGCAGCTGGATGTGGCTGTCCTGCAGTTCATTCTTCCAGCAGTTCTTCCACTGCTACTGCCCCGTGGGCTTCGGCCGGCGCACCGACCCCAACGGGGACTTCATCAGGTGGGTACCTTTCCTTCTATCGCCCCTTGGTGCCAACAGCTGAGCCCGCACCTGGATGGCGCCCTTCCTCCCTCTGTCTCTCAGGACTGCACAGATATTAGAGCGTTGAGGGTCATCGGAGGAGAGCAGTGAGTCACAGGGGAAGCACAGACAGATTTACCTGTTTTAAAAGTAACACCTGTTACACCTGATGGAACCTGCCAGTTACTGATGACGTCAGTGTCTCACACACAGTCAGCTCAGGGACAGGTCAGCTGAAGACAGCAGAGGGGGAGAGAGAGATGGGGGGATAAAGGGGACGTCCAGATCTTAGGGTAAGTCAACAAACCAGCGTCCTTCCGTCCTCGTCTTTGTCTGTGTGTCATCAGCTGTTTGTAGCTGTCTGTTCACACCTCAGCACTTAGTCTGGGATCCAGGATGCTAACGACCTCAGTGTGTGTGTGTGTGTGTGTGTGTGTGTGTGTGTGTGTGTGTGTGTGTGTGTGAGGGACTCTGAACATGTATGCATCAGTAGACGTGTACCTGCAGCAGCGTGTTCATTACTGCTGCTCTCTCCCCCCTCCTTCCACTCTGTTTGTGATTTTTGGGGGTTGGGGGGAAAGTTCAGCGGTCCCTCTCCCCTTCGTAGATTGTAGCTGATTGCTTTTAAGGTGATTGGCCGTTCTCTCGCCCCTCCACCCAGGTGCAGCCTGCGCTTCCAGCCGGGGCTGCCGTGGATGGACGTTGTTGATGGCGGTTTGTTTCATGTACCTGTGCAGCCCTGAGGCACTCGCGCCCCAGCGGCACCCTCTGAGCAGGTTTATGACTCGGTGGCGTCTCATTTCGTCAAAAGGGATTCTGACCGCTTGGTAGGGAAAGGCAAACGCCTCGCCTGCATTCGTTAGGTAGAGCGTTATGAAGCATTCCACGGAGGGTAGTGAGGAGAGGCGTTGGACCAGCTGTAGCTCTGCCATCGCAGTGAAGCACGATTGGCGCCAGTACTCGTTACCTGCGCCGTGCCACGCGAGCCGGTCCACTGTCCAGGCGCTGGGCAAAGCCCCTCATCAGGCCCTTTGTGAAATGTTCAGTGGCGCTCTGCTTTTGTGAATGCAGCCCTGCGGCTCAGGCGGAGCTGGAGCGGCGGCTGGCTCACTCAGACACATGGCGTGGATCACTAGTGCACGTGTGCATCACGTAGGGTAAAAAACAGGCCGAGATCAAAGATACAGATCTGACTGCAGAGGATAAGCAGCCCTTGCATGGCTAGGCTTAGGCTTTTCCCCGACCATCATCCACCCAGTCACATCCATCCAACATCCAACCACATGCAGCAGGGAGAGTCAGCCCCACCCTTTATGTTTAAAGATGTCTGCATATCTGCCAGTGTAGGTGTGAGGTGAAAATCCAAAGCCGTGACACTAAATGTGGACAGCAGATTGAAGATTACATCATCAAAGATTACATGACAGGAAGAGGAAGCCCTTATTGCCCACGCCACCCGCCGCCCTCCATCGGCTCGCGTGCTGCCGGCAGGTCGCGGATCTTCCTGGCAAAAGGGTTGTGGTCCCTTTTGGTGAAATGAGGGGGCTCCCTAGTGTGCCGGCCCAGAGTATGGCGCTGTGGCGATGGGAGAGGACAGTCAGCAGAGGCTTTGGGCCCACTGACCACTTAAAAGACAACCACCACAGTCAGAGGGGCAGGGGGGGCAGATTTGAGCTCTTTTCTCAGTCCACTGCTGTTTGAAGGGGATGGAGGTGGGGTAAGGTTGGGGGAGGGTGGGGCCAGAGCTGGGAGGTACGGTGGAGGACTTCTGTCATCAACGGCGAGCTCTCAGGAGAACTTCAGCTTCCTCTTCTGTTCAGCTGTGAGGAATGAAACCGAAGAAGAGCTTTGAGCGATGGACGGACAGGAAGCTCGATGGCAGATCTTTTCCACCGTACGCCGGCTCTGGTCCAGGTGGGGTGGGAGGGGTTGGGCGGGTGGGCTCAAAACTTTGTGCTTTCTAATGGCGTGTTGCAGTAGACGTCTTCCTAGCAGCACCAAGCAGCAGTGATGTCTCTAACAACACGGCGCTCTCCGTCCGTCGAGCATGCGTGCGTCCACACGGCCGCACCGCTGCCTGCCCCCACTGTGCCGCTTCCCACAGTTCCACTCGCCCCTCTCCTCCGCCCCGCCTGTGTCCCCTCCTCGGACTCGGTAAGGTCGGACCAAGCGCAGTAGGTAGGTGGCTCTCTTTCCACGACAGTCCAAGGAATCTTCTGCACGTTGTGAGATGTTGACCTCTTGCTGCAGTCTGATTGGCTCTCGCAGCGTCGCTCTGCGTGTGCGTGGCGTGGCTGCCGTCACACCAGCTCACAGTAAATGTTGTTGGGACCACAGCCCCTGGTTTTCCACCACGTTTGGCAGCATTAACGTCTCTCTGAGCGCCCTGCGACGGTTACTGCCCGCAGTGCTTCTGACTCATGTCCTGTAGCCTTACTGTGCAGTGTTGTGCTTGTTTGTAGCTTCGTTCTGCAGCAGCTGACTTCCTTAAAACTTGTAAGCACGAAGGGCTGAAGACCAGCGTGCTCCGGCTGCAGGCCTAAACCTCAGCCAGCTCTTCACACAGCAGCAGCTAAAGTTTGGAAACACACATTTCAGCTCATATCTGAGACGGTAGCTCCGAAACATTCAGACATGACATTTTTTCCTCTTAACCCTTTACCTCCCTGCATCACCACCACCCCAATGCACTTTGTACCCCTCCTCGTGCTGACAGAAGCCAGCATGTCTAATGTCTCCATCTGCTTCCAGACGATACTTACCTGTCCTCCGAGGTTTTCCTGCTAAGTTCATCTACGACCCGTGGAACGCTCCAGAGTCTGTGCAGGCGGCAGCCAAGTGCATCATTGGAGTCCATTACCCGAAGCCCATGGTGCACCATGCAGAGGCGAGCCGGCTCAACATCGAGAGGATGAAGCAGATCTACCAGCAGTTGAGCCGATACAGAGGACTGGGTACGAGATCAGAGAACATAAAACTTTAGCCTTAAACCACAGCACAGCACGCCCAGGTCGCTCCAGGAACTAAAGCTATCAGTAACTTTAGAATATTTAATGAGGCCAAGTTCTGTCTTCATGCTGCGCAAACTTTCAGTTCACACACTCATGGGATTCTTTCCAGAGTCGTCGTAGCTTCAGGAGTTTAAGAGAGATGCACATGAAAAAAACTAATTCAAAGCTGAACCTAGTTTTTATTCTGCAGGAGTGTTCCTCCAAACAGGTTTTATGTGATGGAATAACCTGCAGTAGTTTGATGTCTGTGACGTGTAGCAGATTTATTACATTTTCAAATTGTCAAAGTTACGAGTAATAAGTGTGTGTGTGTCTTTCAGGTCTGCTGGCATCAGTGCCGTCCACCCACGGGAACGGGAATGGAGGAATGATGGCCTTTTCCCCTGGAGAGCAGCACCCAGGGACCAACAGTTCACACAGTAAGGCCTCTGGACACAGTCCGAGCTTCCAGCCGCTCTGGCAGCTCTGTTGTTGAGTCACGTCTTCTTCTGTGGTCTTCAGCGCCCGGAGTGTCGGGGAGCCCCGTTCCAACAGGAAATGGCAGCGGAAGCATCCTTCTCAACTTTGACAGCGAAGAACAGATCGGCCCCAGCGGCGTTGGACAGCAGCATCAGCGCCTGCAGCAGCATGGTACATGACGCCGCAGCTTCCTGTCTGGACTGAGGTCAGATTCACAGTTTAGTGGCACGATGTCGTATTTATAGTGTGTTTGTGTGTGTGTGAGATGCAGGATACCACTCAGTGCCAGACACCAGCCAGAACACCAGCAGCCGACTCTACCACGAGTTTGCTGTGCCTCAGCACCCAGGTACGCCGCGGGCGGGAAGAATTTGAAGTGTTTCACATCAGCTTCGGCTCAGACCTTTCTCCTCCTTTTCCTTCAGGACCCCTCCTGCACCCCCGGGGCGGCATCACAGGGAAACGGGAGCGCGAGTCGGAGCGTGAGGGGTCGGGGGAAGAAGAGCCGGCGTCCTGCTCCGTGCACAAGATGCAGCGACAGAGCGCAGAGGTCAGCCCACCACTCGGCAGAGCTTCCGTCCAAAAGCTGCCAAAACAGTCCTGACACGTAAAACCTGGCATCCCGTATTTCAGGACTTATTCCTTGTTGAGGGAAATTTAGGCCATGTGTGAAACAGGAAGAGAGAGCGGCATTCCACCCCGCAGATATGAAGAACTCCTGTGGCGTGCTGGGTTGCCTGCCAATAATCCAGGTGTGTCTCGTCTCATTGCAGGCAACCTAGAGCAGATGGAGAAGAGACCGTGCGGAGTCCATGGAGCCGGCAGAGAGAGGAACGCCCGACATCACCGCCTGTCCTCCAATCACAGCAGCTCCAGACAGGCGCCTCCTCCTCTTCCTACTTTTCCTCACACACAGAAAATCCCAGGGAGCACACACAGAGGTGAAAATGTGTCAGTTGGCTCGAATCGGTTTACCTCTGACCTCAGAGGAATGTGCAAAGAAACAAATGACCTCAAACTTTATTTCTAATAAAATAAATAAACCAATAAAAACTTTATTGTCTTAAACGGCAGCCACCGCCACGCAGCTGCCAGGCTACGACGCGGAGCCTTCGTCACAGGCTTTGGAGAGTCTTCTTCTACTCAAACGGGTTTAAACAGGGAAACGCAGCTAAAGCTCCGCCCACGAGCCACGCCTCGAACAAAGAGGTCATCCAGAGGAGCGCAGCTGTAACACGAGTGACCCGAAGCACCAAACGCAGCCTGCCAACTTCACTTCCTGTCTGTGTAAATAAAGCCTTTTTTTAATACTGGAGGTGCAGCGGGTTAATAAACACGAAACCTCCTACTTAACGGCACTGCTTGTGATTCCCCCTTTCACCACCTGGGGCAGCATTTCACCAGCACGTGTCTTCACGCTGTAAATGAGCGCGGCTCACCGCTCCATACATGCGCACGCACGCTACGCCGGGGCTTTGGATGTGGAGTTTCTTCACATCCTGGTGATGCTCCAGTTAACTTTGAGCATTTTTAAAGCAGTTTAGAAAAACAGGATGTTACACGTACTACCTTTATTTCCGACGCTGGCTTCGTGGGAACGTCTTCGACTGCCTGGTTTGTGCTCGCTCGTATCGGCAGCTAACATCGAATGCAAGTGAAATTTGGATGCATTAAAGTCACAAGTGTCAGAGGTCTCTATATATTTATAGCCGAGCCCGTTCCTGGTCTTTGAGTCGTGTTTACAGTGACGTTCTTAGATTAGAGCCTTCGTGCCGTGGCGTCGTTTAGCCCTCTGTGTGACGCCGTCGTGCACGAGGAGGCGAAGCGTGGCTGAACACTCAGGTCCTGATCTGAGACTTGTTCTGTTTCTGTTGTTGGACCATCGTCCTCGCAGCTTTTCCCACATTTTTACTGAGGTCGCTGCGCTTTAGCACTTGTGTTTGGTCCGACCTGGCCAGTCACATTTTCACCTCTCTGTTCCCCTCACACACACCTCCTTCTGCAGATGTGGTGGTTGAGCTAACGGCTGCGTTCAGGCTCCTCGCCAAGGCGTCACATTTTTCTAAGATTTCTTATAAAAACCAAAAACCTGCTAAACAAAAATGAAGGAAAAAAGACTAAAAACTAAGTTGAGTCAACGCGCTGAGACGGGCGACCCAAACGAGCCTCATTCTGTCACAGACAACATTCCTCACATGGTTTCCTGCGGCGCTGCACGGAGGGACACGTGAAGCATGCACGGCTGTTCGGGATCATTAAAACTGTAAATCTGCCCAACATCTGCTTCATGGCCGACAAACAAACGGTCGCTGGCGTCCAGGGGGGTGGGGATCCTCCACCCTCCACCAGCACCGCCAGTCCCACTCAGAGAATGTATTATAAAATCCACACAGCAGCATCGGTGGCTGATGTTAGCACCACCAGCTACACACACACACACACACACACACACACACACACACACACACACACACACACACACACACACACACACACACACACAAAGATCTGCACATACACAAAGATACGCACACCTGTTATTACTGCGCAGTTTCATTACAGTTAGCCTGTTTTCTTTTGAGTTTACAGTGTGATTACCCGAGTATTTCTCATGTCATTACAGAGTAAATATATACAGTAAATATGCTTTTTTTCCCACAGGAAACGTAGTAATTATACAGAGTAAATACTTGTAAACATCTGGTAATTTCACTGTATTTGCGTACAGTTACATGAGTAAGGACCAGGCTTCATGTGAGTTTGACTCCGGGCTAATTTACCTGTATTTAAGCTGTAATCACACCCACAACTGTAAACTCAGATAACTCACTTCCTGTTGTTTCACAATAAAAGTCTTCTTCTACTGAACAGTCAGAGGCCTTTATTGTGAAAAGTGTTCATTAAAAAACAATAGTCCATATCTCTCTCTCTCTCTCTCACTCACTCACTCACACACACACACACACACACACACACACACACACACACACACACACACACACACACACAGCCTTCTTGATGATTAGCCAGGAGAGAACATCCCAGCCTGCCCTCTGATATCAGCGCCCCCTTTTGTTTAAGCAGTGTAACTGCGATCACTGACGAGCAAGTTGGCTGTTTGGAGCTTTGTCGCATTTATGTGTGCGTTGTTGGCCAATAATGCTAACAATGATAATAATGATAATGAAATATATGTTTGACCTAAATGCCCAAACCGACCTCGGTATTGTTGATATCTGACGTGTTAACAAAACAAGTGTGGGAAATGAGGCAGCATTGCCCCGCCCTCACAGAGCCCAGGTGTTTGAGGTGTTTTACAGGTAAAATTAAAATTCTTTTCTGGCTATTACAGGAATATAAAGCATGTGAGGCTGAAATCAGAATGTGGACTCGAGTCGGTTAAATGTCCAGCACACAGGTGAAGAACTGAAGACGCGGCGGGGCTTCACACAGCACCGTTACCGGACCCAGGGGAGGGGCGGGTGTACAGTAGTCGGCATTAGTGCGTCGTGGTCGTGCGCCCTCGGCTTCAGCAGTCACGTGGGGGGCTGATATCGGGGAGGGAGGGGGGCCTTTAGTATTGTAGTGTTTCTGTATTATAGCTCTGTCTGAACATTGTTAGGTTTGATCGCTTTTATCACTGTGGGGGAAAAGTTGATCCAAGTTTTTATTCTCGCTCTTTGTTATGTTTGGTTTCCCTTCGCGAAGGCGAAGACGGACGCCATCCATCGTCTCTGTAACCTCTTTCTGTCTCCTCGTGATGTGAAAGGCTTTTTGTGATCAAGTTCATGGCAGGAAATTAAAGTTGTTACAACCTGAAAACGTCTTGTCATTCTCCACACTTATCCCAAACACCAGACGCACTCGTGGCCATCCAGTGTCATTCTAGGACGGTGAACATGGCTCATGTCTTTCCTGGTAAATCACCATGGTAACTGATGCTAAAGACCTATCCTGTGAAGAAGGGGTAAATCTGTTATTTTCTCTGCCCTGTTGGCCCTGACGTTAGATCTGCACTCGCACTCATCCTCATTTCAAACACCTGAAGCACCTTCAGGCTGATGATCTGAAGAAACCTGCAACCAGGAGCTCTTTGATGTGGACACACCTGTCTGTGATAAACATGTGACCCAGAGTTTACCTTTATTCAATTCAGTTTTATTTATATAGCACAAAATCACAGCAGCAGTCGCCTCAAGGTGCTTTATATTGTCAGCAGGACCTACAATAATACATACAGAGAAAGACCCAGACCTTGCTCTGGGAGCTCTCACTGAGCTACATTTACAGAGCAAAAGCCTGCAGGTGTGAATAATGTTCCTGACTAAACTCCAGTGCAAACACTCGTTTTTGTAAGTCATGACGCGCACCTCACGCCGCAGCGTGGAGCTGCACAGGCAGGACATCTACTGCAGAAAGTGACTTGGCTCATACACATCAGCCTTTCAGCTTTCAGCCCGACTGTGTTTCAGAGGTGTCTTTGGGCAGACAGTGCTGTGGCTCTGGTTTGAAGGAAACACCGGGCAGAATGTTAAAGCTGTGTTTTGTAGAGTCAGTACAGGGTTGAGGTTAGTCTCTGTGGGGTTTCTCCATGGCTGACCTCTGGTCAGTGATGTCCATGTGTGATGTGCCTCTGCCTGTCGCTGACACAGACGTGTGCAAGTTTACTGTGAAGCATCTCTGTTGGAAAGGCTGTCAGCTGTGTGGGGGGGGCCCTTGTGGCAAGAGAGCACAGTTGCACTATTGAGCACATGTTCCAGTGATCAGAGTTGGAGCTAGCACATAGCAAGAGCCGCCTGGCAGACTGACTCTGCAGGGGATGTCTACACACGGTGTGAGTTGTGTGCGTCGCTAAAGAACTGTGAGTAGACGTGGAGCCATGCCTGAAAAGGACAGTTTTAGTCTTTTATGCCAATTAGACATTTAGTGGATGTGCAATGTGTATCGACCTGTTCGCTATGTGGCTAGTTCATGCTACTAATGCTACCTGTTATGCTACATACCTGCTAGCTGTAAGCTAAACGATTTGGTGTTTGTGATATATTGTTGTTGGGTGTATTGGGATGTCATGTACTGTAAGGGTTTGGGAGTAGTGTATGAAACTCGTGCATGTAGATGTTCATATAGGAATTCCCATTTGTAGTTCTGGTTAGATTCGAAGAACGCTAATGCATCATAATTCATGACTTAGATGTTTATTACATTCAGTATTCTGTATGTGTTCTGTTCACAGACCACACACCCCTCACCACTCTGTAAGCCTGCGGTTGCATGACTGTGTTGCTGTACTGTGCTGTTAAGCTGAGGAATCACAGTAAAGACGGTATAACCTTTTTCTGTGCGTCCTGTGTGTTCTGACCGACACCCCAAGGTGAACACCCCTGCTATTCAGCCAACGCCTATACAGTCCTGGGTTCAACCCAAATTAACAATCTCATCCCTTCTGCAGGCGGGCAGCCTGGTTGTTCCTGTTTTCAGGGCCGCTGCCCGAGGGAGATTCGTTATTCATGTTTTTCTTCTTTAGATATGAACCATAAACTGACACATGCTGGGAAGAAGTACACTGTTGATTAACAGCTCCATAAATGCTACAGACGTGTGGTCAGTGAGCCAGTTGGAGGAACTGACAGCATATCAGATCCTACGGCAACAACAGCTGTGGCTTTACTGATGTCACCACACCTGCACGAATGGGAATGTGCACGGTGAGAGCAGCAATGAATAACAAACGGGGGGAATATATGTGAAGAGGAGAAAGGCACACAATGGGACAACTTCCAAAGGACTTGGTGTTACTCTTTCATCGAATGTGGATGCTTTGATTTAAAAGAATCCGCTCACATAAACAATTTCACTGAAACTGCGGCGGCTGAATCATTCGCTGTAATCGAGCTGAGACGGGTTGCACGGTTGCAGTAGATCTGATCTGCCTCCACTCACGATTTCAAAATCACGTTGTATCATAAGAAATGAGCCGCTTTCGTCAGCGCCTCATCACAATTCGCCGATGTCAGGATGTTATTGCGCCTGGAGCAGCACGCCAACTCGTTCAGCAGCTTGTAGTGTTAAATCACCTGAAACCAAATACAGAAGCTGTGGCTTCAAGCTGGTGTCAGATTGCACACGTGTGCTTTCATAACGTTATCTTTGTACTCAGCTACAAACCATTGTGCTCATTTAAGCTGTGAGCTGATAAACCACGGCATCAACACTGCACACGGTGCTTAAAACAAACACAACTGCTATGTGGTTTATATATGTTTATATACTGTATATAGAAAATAGCAGAACACAGAGCAGCCGATGAACAGATTGTGCACAGTGTGAAAGTCTGGGGTGACTTTTCGTTCCCTAAACTGAATCACTCCTGTAGGTGTATATTTATACATTCTTCTGCTTGTGTCGGTGATGGCCTGCAGTCAAAGATCCTGAGAAACAAACAGCCAACAACATTCGTGTTCCTGTTGGAGTCATAAAGTCCTGTGGTTTACTTTCCAAGTGCGTGGGAGTGTTCGGAGGGATTCCCTGCCTGCACACAGGCCTCATATCTGGACAACAACACAGAACAGCGCTGTGGAATATGCTTTCCATGCTGCATGTGGGATCGCCTTTTGTCCGCTCTCCCATTGTCCAGCCCTCTCCTGCTTCCTCCATCCACCCACCTGTTTACCTTTCATTATGCAAATACGACATTCGAGGTCTTCCCCAGGATTCCCGAACACAGAGAGCAGCGCGACATTTGAGGAACAAAGGAAGGGAATACACAGAAAGATGTTTCCTTTATTTTATTCTTCCAACGAGGGGAATTATCAACATGTCGACATGTTCTTCAACACCTGAAGTGTTCAGAAAACACCAGCACTTAGAGCAAATTCAAATCCACAACATTCGTTTTATATGAGAAGCTGAAATTCAGTTTTTGTAGGTTCAACTTTACAGATTCTTTATGTTAAATAAAAGGTAGTTACCTGTGTATAAACAAATCTCTGCTTTTAAGATCAGGCTTAAACTTTCCTTTTTGCTAAAGCATATAGTTAGGGCTGGACCAGGTGACCCTGGATCCTCCCTTAGTTA